AAGCCCCCAACAACTACATCATTATGCGTAAGAAATTTTATGCGATGCTACACTGCACTGAGTTAGGCTTGACAGACAAAGGAGAACTTTTGGGTAATAAAGTTTATGCCCTTGCGATTGTGGGTCTCCAGCAGATGCTTGACATGCATGCTGGTATTTGCAGCCGCTTCCGAATAACTCGCGCTGCACTCTGTGATTGCATCCCTAAAATTCATGCTGTTCCAAAGTTGCATAAGGATCCTTATGGTTATACGTTTATAGCTGTAGCTAATAAGTCCTCACTACGAGGGCTAGCTATTATGCTACACTGAATTCTCGCGCATCTCAGGACCCACTTCCAAAACTATTGCAATAACTTTGCCCAACGTAAAGGTGATAGATTATACTCTAGTGTGGCAAATTCACAAACAGTTCTACATAAGTTACGTGCATTCGCTTTCGAAATTAATCATCTTTACTCTGCTGACTTTAACAGTCTCTTTACAAACCTGCTCCATATGAAGATTGCTAACAATATGAATTATCTGATAGACCTATACTTCTCAAACGCTTGTAAAGAATGTATGGCTGTTGGGCACAAATCAGTATGGTTCACTAATGAAACTCGAACTGATTTGGCCTGCTACAGTAAAGGCGAAGTCATGGTGATCCTACGATTCATTCTTTTCGAAACCTACGTCTGGTTTGGTGGATATTTGTTCAGACAGATATAAGGTTTCCCCATGGGTGGAAATGCTAGCCCCGACATCGCGGCTCCGACATTATCCGTGATGGAATTCCATTATATTCGGAGACATCCCAATACTGGGCTCTGCTTCTTCCGCTACATTGACAATATTCTGGCTATCAATTGCCTGGATTTCCTTGACCACGCCAAGAAGATTTATGGAACTACGTTTACACTAAATACTACTTATTCCGGACAGTACACCTGTTTTCTTGACCTGGCAATCAGCTGTGTTGACGGACGTTGCATTTTTGATGTTTACAATAAAATCCTGGATTATCCCTTCCTCGTCAACTAAGTCAGCCGCCCGGCTAGTTATGTTGACCCCACCATACATGATGGAATAATTATGTCCAGATTTCTGGTATGCTAGAATTTGCAGTACAAATCACACATTCACGTGGTGGGCCAGGCGACTAATTAAAATCTATGAATGTCAAGGATATGATACTAACAGAATACAGAGAGCTCTTTTGAAATTCAATTTCCGCAATCGTGCCATTTTAAGCAAATTCACTGACTTGGATAACGAAGGAATTGGAAATCTCTGCCAGTTCATAATGAACCTAATATATCAATAGGGACAACACCGCTGGATTCAGGTTGCACTGACAGAACAGACATGCGCTTAAATTAATATGATTGATAATTTTCAGCTAAAAAGGCATTATTTGGTGAACCACCGGCGGAAAAAACGAAGACAAAGGCACATCTGCTGCGTGTTAGTTTTACTTTTGTTCCGATTGCTGCAAAATTTTTCTGCACAGTCACCTCTGCTTTCTTCCTTTTTTCATCTTCCTTCGAAAATCCACATATTCGTTTAAACATGACAGAATGGGACACTGCACTGATGATTCCCACCCCATTCCGCACTGAGTTTGCTGTCTGTGCTTACAATTTAGGGATGAAATACAGACTGGATAACAGCTGAATGTACATAAAGGCCCGCTTATCTGGGTATATAAATTGGCACTTCCTGCTTTCCTAAAACTGTCAAAATTCGACTGTGTTCCTCTCAATAGCGGGCCGACAGTGCCAACAAACTGTGTATGTTAACAAATAAAAGACTTCAGGCCCCCGACTTCTTTTAATCCCCTAGCCAGAGATATTCATAGCTTTGCATCTTAAAAATTTCAAAAGCAGTTAGGGCACTTGAAAGATATTTCTAGCGAAGTG